AAGGTTTCAAAAGAAATTAACACATCGGATCTTGAAACTTTCGAAGTTATAGAAAAAATTTTACAAATAATCAAAAAAAAAAATTCTTTAAAAAAATGTTTAAAATTTTTTTTTGTTCTCATTTTATTTTTATTATCATTTTTATTAAACCAATACTCTGATTAGTGCTTTGCACCAATCAGAAATTTAATTATATAACAATTTTTTAAATATGTCTACTTACTTCTATTTCAGTTAAACGAACATTCAATCAATTAGAAGAACTCTCTACCGTGATAATAACGATTAAAAAAGATTACAATTATTATCTCGACTTATCAAATTGGCAACTCAATACTGAAGTTGATGAAGATGCATATGTTGAGGCGTTTCCTCTTCTTTCAGATCGTATTAAATTTATACAAGATTTAAAGAATTATTATGAAGCAAGAAAAACTGTTCTTTCTCATATCGAAAGAATTTTTCCTAAAGAAAAAGATCATGAATCGTTCGATAAAATCCAAGAATGGCGAACTACCACACTGCAAGGACCTAAATTTGGTGCAAAAATCGCTCTTGATAAGTTAGAACGTTATGAGAAAAAAATGAATAGTGGTGGTAACAAAAAAAAGAAAACAAATTAAATTAAATTATTCATTTTATCTTCTTTTAAATTCATCAATTATTTTTCATATTTTATTATTAAATAAACATTCTGATTAGTATATCTGTACCAATCAGAAATTTAACTATATAAAACAAAATGAAGCAAATTCGAAACAATCTTTATCATATAAAACATCCACAACATCAATATAATTTCTTTACAACACAAATCTCAATAAAAAATAAACACATCTTAATTCGTAAAAGTTTACGTATTAAAAATCAGATAAATTACTCCGATACGCGTCCGTATATCAGATCATCTTTTGCACCTGTTCTATATTATTGTCCATATTGTAATCATTTTCGAAAGATAAATTTTTGCAAATGCTGTAAAAAATCTATCAATGATGATTTTGATTCCGAATCTAACAAAACCACAACATTATCTTCAATAACAATAATAACTGAAGAATCTCAAAAATCCCTTAAAAACAAAGGAATTTTTGACGATGTGATTAAAAAATATTTTGCAAAATATATTACATCTCAATCTGGAACAGTAGAAAACGAAATATCTTTTGGTCTGACAACGAATTGCAAATGGATGACAGTGACAATGAATTTATTATTTAAATATTTTAAAGATTTTTATTTTTTTTGTATATCATTATTTTTTATTCTGTTTAGTATAAATATACTGAACAGAAAATTTTCTGTTCATCTTTTTTTTTTGTAAAAAATAGAAGCAAAATATAGATTACTTCTTAGCAATTATTTGCTCACTTGTGATCTTGAAGAAAAATATCTTGCAACTTTATCTCATCTTACTTTAGTGGAAAAATGTGGTATTCCCGTTAGAGAAACGAAAAATGCAATCGAAACTCAACTTGTTATTCAATCAAATTTGAAAAAAAAATATAAAGAAATGATTACCACTCACAAGATCGACAGTAGAGAATTTTTTTTGGTTGTACCAATAACTTTAAAAAAGCAAATTCTCATCAGTAAAAGAATTAATCCTAATAAAGATTATTTCGATTATTATCACGTGCCAACTGGAAAAAGAAAAAGAAATGAAACATTTAACGAATATACGATACGTGAAATGAAGGAAGAAACCAGAATAACAATTAAAGAATTATTTTATGTTGGAATAAATGAAAGGTTTAGAGTTTTTCCGGATGGAAAAGAATATTTATGTCAATGCGCCGTATATTATACCTATATTGATGAACAGATTCCAATTCGAACTAAACCTGATAAGCATGATGATTGGATTTTTGTAGATCCGAAGGATCTTTCTAAATATAAATTAACCAACACTCTATCTCTCTTCCTTTCATCTATAATCGAAATTATAAACAAAAAATTTAGAAACATCAATCGAAAAAAACATAAAATTCTTCATTCTACTGAAGAAATTTCTGAAAATATTGTAAAATCACCTGAACCTATTGTTCTAAACGGAATTGACAACATATCTTCAATTAATAGTTCTTCTTCTGAAGCATAATTTTTTTAGAATCATTAATTTATTATTTATCAATATATATTTTATTTTTTTTAATAAATTTATTTAATTTTCTGTTCTGTATGTCAACATACCGAACAGACTTTTATTTGTATAAATGTCTTCTAACTGGCAAAAAAATTTAAAAATTTCGAAATCATTACTTCTTGAGAAAAATATAAAAATCCTAATAACCTAAGATGAAAATTGAATGAATATCGTCTTATCAAAATCGATTTCAAACTCTATTTAGAAGTCAAAGTGTCAAACTCAGATTTGACATTTTTAGCCAATATTAATAATTTTAATTTGATTCAAAATTACACGTGGTATTCTTGGAAGTGTAGAAATACCTATTATGTTTCTACATGTATAAAAAACAAATTAAAACAATTCCATAAAATGATTTATCCAGAATGGAAAATGATAGATTATATTAATCGCAACGGACTCGACAATCGCAAGTGCAATCTTAGAGAAACAACACCAAAAGAAAATGCTTTAAATCACAAATTATCTAAATACAATACGTCTGGGTATAATGGAATTCATTATGAAAAAAAGCGAGAAGGTTGGGTTTTTCAATATATAGAAAATAATAAATGTAAAATAAAATAGTTTCTTGTTAATAAGAAACGAACATACGAACAAGCAAAAAATCAATGTATAGATTTTAAACTAGCTCATAATAAAATGACCGGAAATCTTAATAGTTATATAATCCAATAAAATCTAATCTATTTCGTACAATAGTACAGAATAGAATTTTAATTACGTAATTATGACAACTACTAATATTGTCCTCGAAACTCCCAAAAAAAAGATAAGATGTGCGTCATTTTATTTAGCATATATAAGATTCTGAAGTTATGCTGCCATACCGAATTAGGAAATATTTATGAATTCATCTCTTTTGATGGTGATGAATATTTCTATTAATTTAGGAGAAACTGAAAGAACTCGGGTCTTTTGCAAACATTGGTGAATAAGAATCTTTTGCTAATATTATTTTATTTATCTCAGATCTCTAACTACAAATCCAGGCATGAATTTGAAGGCGCGGTTTGAAGATTGCTCGAGTCAAATATGATTTTGGCCAACGAAATAAAAGTAAATCAGGGTAATGGTGGTATTGATATTATTGCTACTTACAAGAAACATACTATTTTGATTCAATGCAAAAATGTTGAATCACCAATCACAGTCAATATTGTGAAAGATTTTGAATCGTCAATTTCTCGCTACTCCAATCCTATCGGATTTATTGTATATAACGAAAAAAAAATAAAAACTAAAAATTTTGTTACACATAAGGCGAACAAATAGATCACTTCATCTAAACAATTTATTAAAATTTGTAATGAAACTGAAATTTGCAACATTATTAAAGAATGTTGTAAAGAAGATTTTTATCAACCTCAGTTGGAACTTTTTGATTTTACGGCTGATAATTTTGTTTATAGTGATGTTCAGAGTCAGAATATATATATTAAAAAAATTGTAATTAGGAAACGCTATAATCCTTATTAACTATTCAGTCAAATTTGACAGAATAGTTTTCTAATTACGTTCTACTTCTTTTTTTTTTTTAATTATGAACAAAAGAATTGTAACTTACTTTGCAAATTTAAAATCCAATATTAAAAAATTAAAAAATATTTTACATGATAATAAATATAAAAAATCTGACTCTTTCTCATCGCAAGAAGAACGTTTTCATTTTCAAAATGATTATGACGCAACAAATCTTCAAGTTGAAAAAGAGTTTGAACCTGAATATGGAAGAAAAATTGAACAAGAAACATTGAAATGGTTAAAACGTAAATATCCAGAACAAATCCAAGTTGCCAACAAGAAATCTAAAACAGAATAGCCAAAGGTTATTATTTTTACTGGTCCAATAGCTATTGGTAAAACCACATGCTCAGATAAATTAGTTGAATATCTTTGATCACAAAAATTTACGGTTTTTCAATATATTGAAGCATCTCTTGATATCGAGCATGAGCTTAAACTCTTTTATAAGGATGTTGAAAAAAATACTACATTTTTTCAATATGTTATTCTCAATTACTATAAGAAAAAAGTAAAAGAGATCAACAGATTGTCCGATTATGATTATATAATTCTTGATCGTACACATCTCGATACAGAAATTTTCATTCTCGCCAATATCACTGATGGTAACTTTTTAGAATATTTTAAAGAAGTGTATGACAGTATTTCCCCTATTAAAAATATTGAAAAAATCTTTTATCTTAACTGTGAAAAGAAAACGATGATTGATCGTCAAAAGATGCGATTCCAACAGAGGCGCATTTACTAGAAAGTTGATAGTGAATATCTTTACAAAATTCGTGATTTCTATGAGCAGCATATCGACAGGCTCTATCCCGAGCATATTAAAATATCAACTGAATGTGATAAAAACGAATATATTAATATTTTAAAATCTCATTTTAATTAATATTTTTTTTTTGTTTTGAATCGATAAATCTTTATTTTTTTTTTATTCTCTTATTCTTTTTTTATTCTTTTACAGCTGTATTTATTTAGTTAGTGTATTTTGCACCAACTAAAAATTTATTCACATGTCTTCAAAATGAATATCACATGTCAACACTCTATTATCCAATCAGATTCATCATATTTTTTTATCTACAACACGACAGATTCATTCACAAAACAAAAAAATATATATTATCGATTAATGCTGTTCATAAAAATGGTACCAAGTTGAATCTCAATTTCGATGTTGGTTATCTATTTTTTGACATCAAACTCGATAGTACACATAATTTTACGTTTTATCTCAATGATTTGGTGGATAAAGAAATATTTCCTAGCTACTATGAAATACTTAAATCTGTTCAGCCATTTGATTCGGGAGCAAAGTTTGATTTCATGCGTGTATATTTTTTGAATTATACGGAACGACAAAATGCTCTAAAAATGATAAAATATAAGACTAACTCCAAGTTAAAATTTATTTTTGATGATAATAACAATAATATCGAAAAAGATGATTGGTGGGAGTTATACGACATTTATTCAGATGATCTTTCATGTTATTATTGAAAGGTTGCGCATAAAAATGATTTTGAACTTATCGGCTAGTATAAACTCAAAAATAACAAAAATATGATTGATAATATGCGATTAACCCTATCAGATATAAAAAAAGTAAAAGAATGTGTATCATTACCACATTTATTATCATTATCTTGGGATATCAAATCATCAGATACTTGAGATCCTGGTTTTTTTCCTTTTGGCTATGAAACTACTTCTTACGTGTACGCGATTCAGATGGATTTTTATTGGATCTTTGAACAAACTCCATTTCAACGCTACTGTATTACAACGCTGCTGATTAATTAACAACTATTTTTTTCTAAATATTCTGATTGCCTCTCTTCTAATTTTCATTTTATAATATGTGATTTGGAAATTTCACTTTTGTTGAATTTTGCGAGAATTTTTCACAATTTTAAACCTGATTTTGAATTTGGATTAATACGGGAGGTTATGATTGGAATTTTATACTATCAAAAGTGGAACAACATAATATAACGAAACAATTTAATAATATTTTTCTTGGAACAACCGATGATGTTATGATAAATATTTGTGAAACTGAGGTTCAATATAAAGAACAAGATTTGGACGAGGTCATGAGAAAATATGAATTTACAGGGATTAATATTAACAACCGTTCTATAAAAGTTAATCCTACTGAAAAAATAATATATGAATATTATTATATCTCTGGCACCGTATTCTTAGATCTTCTGGTCTGGGCTAAAAAAACATTTCCAACCGAGCTTAAAAATACTCTTAATGATGTTCTTGTACGTTGTAGTCTGCAAGGCAAGATCGATTTACCATATTTTCTCACTAAATCAGATTTTAAATCAATGTTTATCTATGTAAATGCGATAAAATTCAAGGACGATCTCGCAAAAATTCAAGATTTTTCATCACAGTTAGTGTCTTTGCAAAATGTTAACTATGGTTCATGCATGAATCATTTTTTGGTCTCTGAAACCCAACTTGAACACTATGCTGCAGACATCATATATTACTGTGCAACTGATTTGCTTCGATATCAAGAATTGATGATAAAACGAAATATTTTTTTCAACTCGCATCATTATTATGTACAACAATCTCAAATGTTTTTATGAATGGAGTTGGATGTTTGGTTTGTAATTTTTATAGACAATTTGCTTCTCGTCGTAACATTTTAATTTTGATGAATCACAAGAGTGTAGTTAAAATTGGAAAAAAAATATCAGAGAGGTCTGGTGCTTGTTCCACAAAAAAATGAAAAAAATCGTCCAGTTCCTGATCTCGACTTTACGTTAATATATCCAAATTCGATTATCACGATGAACATATCTCTTGAAACGGAAATACCCATTTTAACAAGGGATCCGTCTGTAAATACGATTTTTGATAACGATCAGATTATAACACAATTTAAATCTCACCATAACTACGAGAATAAAATGGGTTTGATGCCTCTAATATGTAAAAAATTATTGGAAGCTCAGGCCGAAGCTAAAAAATTTATGAAAATCTATACAAATGATCTTGTAAAACTATCATATTTTACATCAAGATCAAATACATTAAAAATTATGGCCAATTCCATTTATGGTGAAACTGGTATCTCTTCTCTCCTTTCTATCGAAAGATGATTGTATCATTTGTCACTGCGTTTTCACGTGAAACTATTAAAAAAGTAATCACTTTCTTGGAATCAAAACACTGCAACATCATATATGGTAATACCGATTTGGTTTTCTTTACAATTCCAGAAACTCATTTCTCTAAAATCAACTCTCTCTATTCTCATAACAAACAACTCCACTATTTGGAATCTATAAAAAAATACATAGAATTCACAAAACAAATCACACCTGTGGTCAACTCTTTTATGGAGCAAGAAACTGGTCTTCCTTTTATGACCATGGCATATGAAAAAGTTCTTCATCCTTCTCTTTTTCTTCACAAAAAACAATATGGTGGCATAGTTCATGAAAATGCGCCTAATTTTACAAATCCAAAACTCTTAATAAAAGGTTTAAAAATTGTAAAGCACAACGTATCTCTATTCTATAAGACGGTTGCTACAGATCTTATTTGGTCTTGTTTAGAGTTTAATGATCAAAAACAATTATTGGATTCGGAATTAAAATCGCCAAAAGAAATAGCTTGAGATGTGATTTCTAGATATACTTCTGTACCTATGTTAAATCTAGATCTATTCAAATTGATGACAAAATATGATCCAACCCATAGGGAAAAAATAGTTACTCTTCGTGAATTCATTAATGAGCACCGATCAAAAAAACAAACTTCTAACAATACAACATCTGAGAAAAACCCCAAAAAAGGAAATACCATGGTTCTTAATTTTGCTGAATGATATGAAAAAACTAGCAAAAAATTAGTTCCTAGTCGCTTCGAGTACTACATTTTGTATCATATGCAAAAAAAAAATAGATATTTCCCAGAAAATGTGTTTAACGAAAGAATATACTGCCGATAAAGTAATTGATATTATGTACTATTTCAACAGTCTCGCTAATATCTGCGCATCACTTCTTTCGTGTGATACTAAACAAGCTTTAGAAACAATTAAAGAAATCTATGATGCTGATAAAAACAAGAAACAACTTTTAGTAACAAACTATTTCTCTTCGTCTCTATCAGAAAATAAAAAACATCCATTAGACCTCCCATCTTCTTCTATCTCCTACAATAAACAACAGAAAAAAATAACCGAATGTTTTATGCAAAATTAGCTATTTGTACATAATATATTTAATCTATAATAAATCTTATAATAAATTTTATTCATTTTATTCAGTACGTTTAGTACCGAATAAAAAATAATTTGTTCAAACATGACTTCCTCTTCGTTATCACTATTAATATTCTCAACTGAGATTTTATTTTTAATCTTTAAATCTTTAAGAAAGGAAATTGATTAATTTCACCTGGGTTTATCATGCAAAAGATTACGCATTATCTATACTCACCTGGAATTTGATCCCACGAATTGTCAATTTCTGTTTACCAATCCAATACACCTTTATATTTTTCGAAATAGACATCATATGTTTAACAGAGAATCTATCAAATTTGAAAAAATTTTACGTACAAAGAAACGCAAATATGTTTTGTTCAACAAAATATATAACAGATGCGAAAACTGTAAAGTTCTTAAGATTGATTGTGATAGCAAATCACAATGTACGAGTTGTAAAATAAAAAAGATACAATGTGTTAAACCCGATTTTAAAAAGGTACTATATAGACCAACTACCGGTAGTTATTTCTGTTATGCACCATATTCGAAGGAATTTATGTTCAAAAAATATGTGGGCGATATAGAGCTTATTGGAAAAGATGAATGTGAGAGATATAAAAATATGAGATTTTGTGACCCTACTTTTGTTACTCATAATTGTTGTGATATTTCTACATGTGATAAAAACAATATTGTTTTACCAATTTTAACTCTCTCTAATATTCACCAATACACACATGGACATATGTTATGTGACGAATGTCGCGTCAAATGTGATAAGAGAGTTTTTTTGGGCAATTTAGTAAAATCAAAACCTTTATTTTAAATTTTATTTTTATGTAGAAAAAACATGTTCGACAGTAAATCTAACAACATCATTTCTATTCGCCACCACTTCTGTTAATATTAAAAATATCAAATCTTTATTTATTTCGATGATTTCTATTTTTAGGTTATATATAAAATCATTATTGGCAAAAGTATACATATTAGATTTTGTTTTAACATATTTTACCAGTTTTTCTTTATCAAATGATCTTTCAAAAAATTTGTTGTAAAACTGTGTTGATTTTTCAAATGTGTTGTAAAATTTAATAATATCAGAATATTTCACAATTCTGATCGTATTATGATCAAATTTTGATAGTTTACAAATTTTATATTCATTTTTTTTATTTTTTAGCAAGTCTCATTTTCATTATTTATATAACTTTTTAATCGATTATTCAGTGACATTTCACCGAATAATCCTTTAATAATTCATCTTTAATTTGGGTGGCTTAGCTTTCAACAACTATATAAACTTTAGTATTCTTCCTTCCCTCTTCTCAATTCAACTTCAAATTCAACCAATCAGATTTAGGTGAGAGAAGCTCCCCTGGAAGGTCCAAATTGTATATTAGTTTGGTTATTCGTTTTCCTTATTTTATACTAACTCTCATTTTGTGCTACCTGGTAAATTATTATTTACCCTTGTATGAAACGGGGTCTGCTCATGCATGCTCGCCATTACAAGAATGTCTGAAAATGAATCTAATTTATCTGATGATAAAAATGATAATTTTAAATTAACAAAATCAGAAGAATTTTGGTGGTATAGAGATGATCAAAAACAAAATTATAGAAGGTTAATCATGTTTCCTGATGAAAATAATCATATTACAGAATATCTTCAAATAAAATTAACCAAGCGAAAAAATTTTTTTATTGACAAAAATATAAAGATACTATAAAACTTTGTAAACTTTTAGTAAACAAAGATAATGATATTTTTGATTCAATTTCAAACAAACCTTTATTAGAAATATTATATCCAAATTTTAAATTAGTTAATATTAAATTTAAAAATACATGTAAATTTGATTTACGTGATTCCAATATCGTTATTCAATAAAATTTATTTTTAATAATTAAATTATTTTTAATAAAAATATTTATTTATTTTTTTTTATTAATCTCAAGTTTTCGAGTTGCTGTTGAAAATGAGTACTTTAGTTATTGTTTGTTTACAAACAATAACTAAAGAAACGAGACATTTGACACAATAAAGAAAAATTGCTGTAAAACTTTTGCTGAGCTTCACTTGTAAAGCGAGCCAGCGGAGCAACCCCGTTTCATACAAGGGTAAATAATAATTTACTGGGTAGCACAAAATAGTTGTTGAAGATTGCTACGAGCGTTCGCTACAAATTTGAGTCGAGATTGGGATCGAGACGAAAATGATGTAAGAACATCAGTAAAATCGAACAACAACTTTATTTTGTATTATTAAGTAATTATTTTATTTATAAAGATGAAACGAAAAATCAATTCAATCATCAAATCTTCTTTTGTTAAAAAACAAAAAACTGAAAAAATACATCCAATCAGTTTGGTTTTTAACTATATAAAAGATCCTTATGAATTTCAAAATGCATCTTTAGTATCTAGGGAATGGAAAAAGATTCTCGATAATCATGAATATTGGAAACAACTTAATGAGCATCTTGAATTTCAGGGGCCAAATTTTCATGTGACAAAATATAAAACTCACAAATCAATTTTTGTTAAAAATATAAAAAAATTATGTGCCTGTAAACGAAATTTTGGTCAAAAAAATCAAAATCTCAGTCGAATTCATTTTAAATTTGATATTTTGATTCGTTATTGCCAATATAAGTTGGAATCCAAATATTATAAATTTAAAGTGTATAGAGATTTTGTTAGTTTTGTCCGTGATAATCTTTTTAATCTTTATAATATTAGTAAAAATAACAATGTTTGTTCATTGTGTGATACCGAGTATTTTTTAATAGAAAAATGCTGAAATCTATATAAACTTTATTTTAAATATACTTTATATAATATAAAAAAAAAGTATTTAATTTAGCTAATATATATTTACTGTAATTTTAATTTACACAATATAAAAAAAAATTATTTGATAATATAAAAAAAACTTATTTGATTACTTTATAATATAAAAAAAAATTAATTTAATTTATATAAATTAATAGTTTAATTTTAAATTATACAATATAAAAAAAATTATTCGATTTAATCAATATAAATTATATTTTAATTTTTTTTTACTAATATAATTAATTGAAAAGAAAATTTTATTTAATAAAATAAGAACCAATCAGAAATTTTTGTTTTAGAATAAAAATACGTTTGTTTTTTTCTTCTAACATCTTAACGATTCCTTCGTTTTTTCAAATTTATTTACAAAATTTCTTTAATTTTTTACAGACAAAAACAAAATGTCTGCTTATAATTCTGAATCAGAAGATAGATTATCTTATCTTTTTTATACAATTACACAAAAATATATAACTACACATAATAACTTCAAGAAACTTGAAAATACTATTTCATTTTATCGAAATATAATCTTCTTACAATTTATTATTATTTTAACTATGATATTTATTGCTGGATATTATATTATTTATTTGAATAATTTAAATATTTCTTTATTACAAAACAAATAAAAGTAGAAGTTGCTAAAAAATTATTTAACAAAAACTTAGATTTAATAATTGATTTTTTAAACCAACATCAATTATAAGATATTAAATTATCTGAGAATCCCAAATTTTCATTTCTTTTTTATCTACAACTCTACTATTTCTTGCATATTGAGATACTAATATATTGTTAAAATTTTTATTTTTATTAATAATTAAATAAGACCCATCTAATTTATATTGAATATTTGTATCTGTTACTCTTTTGATCAAGATAGGTATCTTTTCAACTTTTAACCCTTTCTTAATTGCTTCTTTAATACAATACAATCTTCGATTATCTGAAGAATAATATATTTCATTGATAATACAAACTTCAAGAGTTGGTATATCTTTAAGACAATTGATACCTTCTTCTAATAATTGATTAATAGTATCTTCAATCAGTGATGGTAAATGACCTGGTCATTTGCAAATTTTTCAAATGACCTTAAATGACCCCAAATGACCGGTCATTATCGGTCATCTCAATTTTGGGTCATTTGGAAATGACTCGTGACCAAATGACCATGGTCATTT